TCATAATAATACTACATAGGTTTCATATATTACCAACTCAAAACCGGAATTTCAAACAAAAATTAGAAATTTGACTAATAAAAGATTAAAGGCTTTCAATTTAAACTATTTTCATACATATTCATATTTAATTCAAGATTGTGGAGCACATAAGAATTCTTTTGAAATTAATACTCATCTTTTGTGATTCATTTTTGAAATATAAGAAGCTGTTATTTCGATCTCTCACCTAGAACACGGTATTTGATTCAAGATTTCGAAGCACATGTGCGTGAGTTACAGTTTTCAATCACGTGTATCTTCATAAGTATACATTTTCAAAATATTATTCTAATTCATAATTAATATTGTGAGGAACGATTGTTCTGTTAATCAATTTCCTAATAACATTATACCAAAACACTTATTACGATTATTAGCCTATTTGATTATCAGAACAATCACGATATTAATTATTAATTAGAATAATAATTTGTAAACGTATACTTATAAAAATATACGTGATTGAAAACTTGTTAACTTACACTCTAAAATCTTGAATCAAATGCAGTGTTCTAGGAGAGAGATCAAACTATAATAGTTTTTTATATTATTATTGAAATATAATGAAATGGAAATGAATACGTATATAAAAAATACTATTATACATATTACCATGAAAAATGACTCATATATTATTGAAGGTGCCAGGTTCATCAAAGTAAAATACCAACAGTTGCCAACTTTACGTCTGACTTTAATACGAGTATACTAAGGTTTTTTTACCATTTCTTTATCTTCCAATAATAAAGATGTATTACGTTAAAGTGGACAATATGATAAAACAATTGGTAAAAATGTAGATTAGGGGAGCCTCCCCCAATGACCTTGACCTTGACATATGTTGTCAAGGTCATTACCCTGAGTGACCTTGAGGAAGTTTTAACCGTCGGACCTAACTCGTTAAAAAGTTATTAATAAAAAAAGTTTCAAAATTAACGTATCATTTCTGGAAAATTATACGTATTAATGTATCATTTCTGCCATATATGTATTATAACAAGTACTATTTTTACACGCA